ATCCCTGTACATCCACACCTGGAAATGGCTGAACAAAGATTTATGAAATGAGTTTAGCAATGTTTAAATCTAATTTGCCTGTTTCTACCTAAAAGCCTAAAGCATGCTGTTAACTGTTTCCCACTCTCACCAACACAGATAATGACATTTACATGAATTCTCACCTGCCCCTTTGATTTAAATACATAGATCCTCAGACCTCATAAATCCTCAAGCCATGTACAACCAGCGTTTTAAATTTTTATTCAGTTCTCACACCCTGTATTATCATCTCCAGTGAAGAAGATGAAAATCCTAACCTTCAGGGAAAGCACAACCACATCAGCCTGGGAATAAACTTGGGTCTGCCTTATCGTGAATCCTTACTGTTACCCCGTTACACTGCGCCTTCAGCTAAAATGATTCAAAGTACAGTGTTGCCACAGGTCAGCAGAATAATCTTGAGGGACTTCATATGCTGTATTGATAAAGCATATAATAATATGCCAAAATGTTTACCTAAAGGAAATTATCGAAAGCACCTGGCACGGTACCTGGCACTTAACACAGGACACACCCATAAAATGTTTGATTATCATTTTTTCCCTCTAATGCACATCAAAAACTTTTTTTTTTTCATAAAGGTCAAACAGCAGATATTTTAGGTTTCATAAGTCCCTGTTACAGAAAAAAAAGGAAAAACCCAGGCAACAAGCTGCATTTGGACCATAAGCCACAATCTGCCACCCCTGCTTTAAAAGAGAGTTCTTCAGTTTCAACATTATCAACACTGGGACTAGATGGTCCTCTGTTTTAAAGAGCTGTTGTAGGCACTGCGTGATATCCAGGATTTCTGGCCTCTACCCACCAGATGCCAGTACATACCTATTATGACAACCAAAACTACACCTCCTAGGGCGGGAGCCAAAAAAAAGTCCCTAGTAGAAAAGTACTGCTCTAGAACAACTAATCTGTAAAAATGTGACTTTAATTTTCAATACCTTACCAGGGAGAAAAAATAATTTGACACTCTAATTGACACTGAACACTCTATTTAACACTTACTTAGCTAAAAGCCCAACACTTAGTAGTAACTTTATGACTTCTGTGATACACACAGCTGTGGTTGAAAAGTAGAGTTCTGTAGCTGTTGTCCGCGTGTATCTCAAAGCTACCGTATAAGCTGCAGCCACCAGAGTCATCACTGCCAAGCAGTAGAGCTTGAAGAATAAGCTGACATTTTCTGAAAAATATGTGCAACAAAAATAGTTTAGTGTGTGCATTTGCGCGCGCACACACACACACACACACATATATAACGCTAATCAATTAGTTAGTCCATAATGCATTCCAACTTCTAGCACCCTTTTTTCTTTTTTTAAACTTTATTTACTGTACATCACAAGGGTCCCCCTCCTCTTCTCCAAGTCCTCTTCCTCCTCCTTCCCCCTTCCCCTCTCCCTTTTTGCCCAATAAAGGTGAGCCCCCTGCCCCTAAATCAACTGTCCCCAGCACATCAAGCCACATCAGGACTGAGCATATCCTTATTACAAGGCCAGGCAAGGCAGCCCTGCCAGGGAGAAGTGGTTCAAAAGGAGGCAATAGAGTCCATGTTAGAAACAGCCCCAGCTCCACTTGCCAGACAACCCACACCATTTTTTTACGTGACATCTGAAATTCAATTTCCAAATAATGCTTTCCAATCATATGAAGATAAAATACTGCTTAATTTTAAACATCACACAAATTAAGCACAGATACTGTTAAGTGCCCCAACTATATACAATTATGTGGATTATAAACCTCTGAAAACAGCACCAAAGCAATTATAATACATTCGAAATCTCAAGACAGTAGAAAAGGGACTTGAGGCCTTTCTGGCTACATGTGTCACTGCAGTGACCAACAGCATTGACTTGACTGGCTAGATGGGTATTGCAGCCTTCCTTCCTCACCACCTTACAAATGCACTCCAGCGCTACCCTTCATCACAAAAGGACCAACTTCCAGGTGGAAGAGGGTTACTCCTCATCACCTGTGTTTAAGGCATGGCTATGCTCCTCTGCTAGAACCTCTAAATATGCTCTTAAAAGTAAGAGAAAGAAAATAAGAGTAAGTGGGTGACAGAAACGCAATTGAAGATAATTGCCGTGGCATATGTACGCAGTCCCAGCACTTGGGGAGGTTTGGGCCGCAGAACCACACTCAGGATCCTGTATCTCCTGTGGGGCCAAAAACTATCCCTAATAGAAAAGAACTGCTCTAGAACAATCTAAAACATAAAGATGTGACTTTATAACCAGCCTGGGCTATATTGTAAGACCCTGTCTCAACCAAACAAACACGAGATTATAATAGAACTAAATTAAAGAACAAATTTTATCTAACCTCTTTTTTACTACATTATCTGAATGTAACTTGGTTGATCCAAAGAGTAGTTAGAAAAACTTCTATAAAACTTGAAATGCAGGATATAGCAGTCATCACTCAGGTACCAAAGACAGTCCAACACCTTTGGTAAATTTACAGTCACTGGGTAATCCGTTTTCTTACATCCTGCTTCCTGCTCTACTAACTGCCTGCATACAAGGCTCAAACTTTCCTGCTTTCTTTTCATGACAAACTTTAGAGTATCATGTAAGATTCATGTGAGAAAACCAATTCCCACAATTGTTTTTTACTAATTATAAATGAATATAGCCTTCAACACTGACATCTTCTAATGAAAATGGAATTATCTGGCGGCAGTAACATTTCACTTACTCGGTGTCCAACGTTAGCATTTTGTCAGTGTCCACCTATGAACGCCGTTCTTAGTCCATGGGTTACACATCAATAAGCAGGCTGATTAAGTTGGGTCCTAGTGTGCCAATCCCAGTTTAAGAATCATAAGGATGTGGAGACTTGAAGATGCTATTTTTAAACTGATGTCTATGTACTAAACATGCTTTTGTTTACTCCTTTGGAAGCCTAATCATAGGTATAATCATAGGTAAATAAAATAGGTACTGCAAGCAGATACTTTAAAATATGGCTATACAAAACTGAAGAAGCAATGTCTTCAGGTAAATATTTCCCATTTGGTGAATTAAAGAATAATTTGTAACGTGTAGGCAAATTCTTAAAATTATACCAAAAAAGTAATGTGAGAAGAAATGTCTTATAACTATCTTTCTTTCATAAAAGGTCCAACAAGCCAGCTAAGCAAATATGTAAAGGAAGTCACTATAATACTTCCATTGTTCTAAAACTTCCTTATGAAAGAAAAAATTTGAGTATAAAATATGCAGCAATAATCTTTAATCAATCAGTACAAGATTAAGCAACTACACCATCCATATTTTTATATTACCACTCAGAATGGTTTTATATTTTCAAGTGAATGATTGGGAAAATTTTAAGTCCCCTCAAGACACATGGAAATTATAATAAATTCAGATTTTGGTGTCCATAAATGAAGTGTTATGAGAAGACAGCCATCTTCTAAATTATTCTGTGCACTACAGTTGCAGAACTCAGGAGCTATAAAAGACTGACAGCTCTCTACAGAAAGAATGCCCGTTCTATGTCCTGGATTATCAATATTCTCATAACTAAGTTAAGGCGTGCAAAATCAAATCTACTTTTTTTGGCTATGATATAGGTTCCTGGTTTCAAAAAGCAAGATAGTGAATGTTTAAATACTAAACATAGCATTTACTCCAGAAAACATTTTTTCCCCTTGAGAAATGGTATCTCTATGTAACAGGCTAGCCTCCAACTCACGAAGTTCTGCACCTCTGCCTCCTACATGCTGGGATTAACAGGCATGAGCCAGTATCATAGATTCTTCTAAAACACCCATATAATAAAAAGATCTGTCAATGCAATTTTTAAGAATAATTAGTAGGCAAAGTAGAAAAGTTGAAGTTTAGATCTATAAATCTATATTTAGATCTATATACAGGACTTTAGTATACAGCACCACTATAGAAGCATATTTCAGCTTTTAAAACAAATACTTTTTTAAGCATGACTTTCACTTATATTTCAGTTTACCATTAAATCAAATCATTTCTTCTTCATTCCCAGTTTTCTGGTATGAAATTTCATTTATTAGTTTTCAGAGTAATGTAAAAATCCATAATGTATAGCTATTTCAAGCTTTCCTAAGAATTCAAATTTTGTCAAGAACTAGAAAGCTGGCCCACAACGCATCCAGCTATCCTCTTGCCAAGAACCCGTGAGCTTCCACATTATTTTTTTTCGAGTGGGAAATGTCCCCCAGAGTCTGGTGTTACGCTTTTGTTTCCCAGTTTCATTTTATGGGGACTATTATTAGTCATACCTGTAAGCTTGGATTTTTCAGGAAGTAGCAGGAAAACTATCTTTGAAATGACTTGAGGGAGGCACAGAAACTGTATTTCCTTAGGATAAAATGTGCAACACAACCAGTAACAAAGTATGTACTGGGAATACATCTAAATTTGTGAGCTGTTACCAACCCTTTAAGGTACTGATTTGTCAGGTGTAACTTTGAAGTGTTCATTTGTCATGCCTGCCCTTCCATATGTTATCAGAACAGCTTTTTCCCATTACTCCCTTCTTGGGCTGCTACAGAACTTACCTGATAAACAAGGGGCCCAAAGGCCACCACTGAAAACATGCCTGGCGCCTGATGTTAAATGTCAGTTCCCCCAAAAGATAAATAATTTCACATCCACGCAAAAGGACATTCTTTAAATACTTGTCCAACATTTATTCAGACTTAAAGCCAGTGCTTTTGAGGGAAATGGTGAAGAAGAAAAAAATACATTTTTTTTTTTTTTTTATAGATAGATGTAGTCGCCAGGCGTGGTTGCTCGGATCATTAATCCCAACATTAGGGAAGCTGAGGCAGGAAGATCTCCACGAACCCTGAGGCTAACCTGGGCTAGAGAATGAGACCCCGCAGTGTAGATCCCTGCTTTAAAGAATAAAAACAAAACTTACAAAGAAAAAAATAAAAAAAAATAACTGACCTGTC